TCTTACCCATTCACACTGTGGCGATGAGATTCTCCCGCGCGAGGACGGCGGCCCGGCAGGGATCAGCTCGCATCCCTCCGTCTGCTGCTGGTTCGTCATGTGGGGCGACGTGCTGCCCGGCCACGGGGATGTGGTGCACGCTGGTCACATAGTGAGTCACCAAACACCGCCACACAGCGTCGCCAAAGTGCGAATCACAGTCAACGCAAATATCCAGCTCAACGCCAATTTCTACACCACCTCCTGACTTTGCGTTGATTAGCGCTGGAACCGACGCTCGTTTCGCGATGATAAATCTGGACGTGTGCGCCGATTTTGGCGTACGCAAGGTTTTCTTGCGCCGCAAGCGTTGATACATGAGGCCCCAGGTTTCTATTTTTTTGGTTAAGAGTCTTAGGATAAAACTTGTCATCCCAAGACATGTCTTTTTTTTGTTGTTGTTGTTTGTTTGTTTTGTTTTTCTCTGAATTAAAATCTCTGGTGGAAATTCCCTGCGTTGCATTTCAGGTCACATGCTTGACTTTGCAAATCCTGATATTTGACTTCTGCTTTGTGCACTTTGCAGTTACACTGGTTAGATGATAAACAGTGCAGCCATTTTAACTGTATCATGATGAATCAGTAGCTCTGTGTGCTGCTTTATACATCCTTAGTTGCATGTTTTCAGGATGGTTTCAAACACGGTAGATTTTATTGTAAAGATAATTACACAAAGGGAACAACCACATCTTTTTGTCTGTCCTTTCTAAAGGTTGAATGATGCTTCACCATCACCTTTCCTGGATGATTTATTGTTAATGATCTGATTCACAGGTGACCTTGGTTTTTACAGTATCTCCTCTCTTTTCTCCTTTCTTTCCCACCCTTTCCTCCCTTTCCTGTCCCCTTCCTCTCCTCCTCTTCCTGTCTTCCTCACCCTCTCCTCCCACCAGGCCTGTAGATTCTGCTGAAACCTCTCGTAGTCCTTTTCTGCAACACTGAAAAAGCAATGACTTATCTCCCCCACGCAACCCAGGCTTAGGAGAGAAGATGACAACGAAAAAAAGAAGATGAAGAAGCGAGAAGAAGCTCTGTCACTCCAAAAAAATCAAACAAGAAGAACACACACAATCCCCACAGGAATCAAAACAAATCAAATCAAACTTTACTTATCCAGCGCTTTTCATACAATAGGATGTAACACAAAGTGCTTTACAGTCCGTTAAAAAACCTTCAACAATCCTAAATACACCCCCTCACATACACAATTGCCTTATCCCACACAACCTACAGTTAACAGTCACATACACAGTCTCACCTAAAGTCACACACACACACATACACACATAGATTGTGAACATGAGGCTGAGTACAGATGAACCAGTTGAGAAAGCGCCAACAGAGGAGCCGTCAGCACCAGGAGCAGAGAGCCACCCACAGCCACACAACACCGACGCAGGGCCAGGGGAGAGATGTGGCCAACACCAACGTCCACCAGGAACCCCATGACCGGTCCCTACGACCACAACCGACTACTGCTCCCGGTGCCGAGGGCTCCCCCAGAGGAAACACTGGGGGTCCCTAAAATGACAAAAGGATAAAAACAAGTAAAAACTAAAATTTGAATAAAATAAAAAACAGACCATCTCAGTGACCAAAAAAAATGCAAATAAATATGAAACCTAAGCTAACTAGAATAAATGGAGATAAAATAAATAAATATTCATCAAAAGTTGTACAACACCTCTCTGTGTTTTTTACTCTTCTCCTCCTAGCACTCTTGTCTCCTTCTCTTCATCTTCCCCTTGTTGCATCTGTCCTTTCCAAATTCAGGTCATCTGATTTTACATGTTCCAATCACCGTTTTCGGCTTTCACTGACTCTTTCTTCTCCATTGGTTATTCCATTTCTTTTGGGGTTTTCACTGCGTTGCATTTTCGCTCTGCACCATCACACTGGAAGACAAACATCTGGTGTAAGCAGCATTCATGGCAACATGCTACATCTGTAGGAGATACTTGAAATAACATGTGTATTGACTCTGTAACAAACAGAAAGCTAGAAATCCAATCCATATTGAAGCTCACCTCAGTCCTTTTCTGTCTCGGCTCATATGAAACTGCTGTCTGCATCATAAGCTTTCTTTTCTCCCCCTCTTCCTCCCCTCATATCTACCTCTATTCCTTTGTTTCTTTCCCCTTCAGCTCCTCCATCCTTCCTTCCTTTACCCGCCCAACACACAAAAATCCTCCTCTCCTCTATCTGCCCCCCTCCCCTCTCTATCTATCGACCTCTCTCTGTCTCTGGGTGGGCCTGGTAACACTGCGAAGGCTGAGCTATTGTCCTGGTCGAGGAGCATTGACTTTCCAATGTATTCCTTTCTTTCCTTGTCACAGACTGTGTATGATCTTGTTTTCCTCGTCCAGCAGAGAGAACAGAGCCTGTTTCGTTGTCTGCAGTGGTCGTGGTTTTTTAGGGCAAGGTGGTAGCCATAAGCCTTCAAAGTCAGAAACTCTCTTGAGTCCTTTCTTTGATTCGCTTCAGTTTTTATTGCATTAGTTGTCATGGAGTGAAAACAGTATATCTTTATAGTGACGGTGTGAACCTTTAAAAAAAAAATATTATATAAATATTTTATTTTTTACCATTGTATAAATATAAAGTATTGAATAACTTATGTACTTTGATTGCAAGTTTTTTGGTCACCCACAAAGTGAGTAAATAAAAAACTGCATTTTTCTTTTCTTTTTTGTTTTGTTTCTGTGAGTTTAAGGCTCTATTTGTAATGCTTTTGATGTGTTGACTTTTACTGTAACATTGAAAAAATTCTTCTGTTCTTTTTTTGAAATCTGTGATGGTTTACAGAATTCAGATTCTTGCTTTGATGACTGCCATGTGTTTGGGTTGGATTTTTATCTCTCGTCAGTTTTGCGCCCACACTGTTCTCTCTCCCTTCATCATAAAGTCACAAAGATGTGTAAGAAGAGTCAAAAGATCTGGTCTTGGTGGATAGTTTTGCTTTTTTTTTTCTCTTGCGCTCATCAGAAGAAAGTAGTGTTCAGAGGACCACCAGAAAAGAAAAAAAAAAGATGACATTTTGAATGAGCTATGTCTGTCTTTTGCACTAATTTAATAAAGCCGTTACTGAAAATTCCCACTATGCTGTGTTTTCATATTTGTGTCAACTGAAGGAGAGATGAAAAGTTTTACTGCCACAAGAAGCTGCAATAAGGAGGGGGTTTTTATATGATTATGAAAGCTGGTACTGATTGCTCTATACTACACGTAGACTGATTGATGGCTCAGCCAATTTATCAGGTCGATTAATGACACTTTGACTTAATCAGCATCAAATAGGTATCAGCCCTTACGAGGCCAATGTCCCTACTGTCCTTTCTAAATGGACTAAATGGTAAATATAGATTTTTCTCTCACCTTCAGACCACTGAAAGCGCTTTTACATCACATGTCACATTCACCCATTTGCAATACATTTATACTCTGATGGCAGAGGTTGCTGTGTATGGAGACCATTAGTTTTTCACCAACTCCATTCACACACAGCGAGCAGGGCCAGATGCAGTCAAAGTGTCTTGCTCAAGGACACTTCAGCAAGTGGACAGCCCTTGGATCGAACCCCCTGACCACTGAGCCACAGCTGCTCCTAAATCATTACCCATTTTCCAACCTCAATGACAGCGTATCAGACAAAACACTGACTAGCTAGTGACCCTGACTTGGACATCTTCCAAGAATGCTGGGACAGAGGCATGTTTACGTCTGGGTTACATCACCTAGGCCAGTCTAGTACCCTTGTTGTTATATCGCTTGCTGAATGTGTCTCGACATTGTCTTGCTCCAATAAGCAGGGATGTCCCTGAAAAAGACGTGGCTTGGATAGCAGCACATGTTGCACCAAAACCTGTATGTACGTTTCAGCATTAACAGAGTCATCACAGATGTGACAGTCAGCCATGTCATGGGCAACAACCATAGACTGTGAATAGAATGGACAGCGTCTGCCTCCTTGCTGGGTGAAGCCACCCCCAGAACAGCACCCTCTGGGGGTGGGCTGCAGTATAGGTCATAAATCTCGCCCTCTCCAGCAATCTCTATGGAGCTGTGGACAAATTTTAGAAATTTATTACACAGAAAATAAATGTTTCTCCCCTCTGCTTGTGATGTTGACATGTAGTTATTGTAAGACTGCTTTGTGCTCAAGTCCTCTTTTTTCTGTACAGCTCCATTTTTGAAAGTTATTAGGGGGTTCATGTTTTCTATGATTGACACTTGATACAGCCTATGGGCGTACGAAGATTGTGTAGCTCATCCGGGGGATACACTGTTTGAGCTGAGCGTCATCACAGCGACTCTCGGTGACTCTCCTGCCAAATGCGTACAACGCTACTGCGCAATGTTGGTTTCGGGAAGAGAAGAAAAAATGTGAAATCACCAAGAGCTTTTCAGCTTCAAATCCGTATACTGGCGTAAGGCAGAACCAAGTTGTCCATTGTACAAGCAGTCTATTGCTACAACACACCCCCAAACCATCACAGATGCTGGCTTTGAACTTTGACCTAAGAACAGTTTGGATGGTCCTTTTGCTCTTTCGCCAGGAGGATACCACGACCATGATTTCCGAAAAATATTTGAAATGTGGACTCGTCAGACCACAGCACACTTTTTTCTTTTAGACTGAACTTTCACTTGTAGATGTAGAGACCAACTGAGTTAACTGACAGTGGTTTCCTGAAGTCCTCCTGAGCCCACGTGGTAAAACCCTTTACAGAATGATGAGGGTTTTGTTTACCTTGTGCTGCCTGAGGGGTCAAAGGTCACAGGCATTCAATGTTAGTTTTAGGTCTTGCTATTTACATGCAGCATGACAGAGATGACCATCATTCAGCACTTGAGCGACACACTGTTGCCAGGCTGTACCAGCCAATCAAATAATCATGTGATATCCTGCTCATGTATGCAGCCCATAATAACAGACTGCAGTAACAGACCGCACATCCACTGGAGATGCTACTGGCTTAACGCCACAAATGAGTCAGTGTAATTTATCAAGTTATTGAGTTCATTCCTGTTTATGTTAGGTCCAACTGAAGTGCCAGATTTTTTAAATCCACCCTTACTCTTTCATTACAACACTTATCACTGCACTTGCTGTTAACAGATCATCTCTTTGTTGGTGACAGTTTTTTTTGCAGGTAAGGACCTCTGATTGTAAATGATTGAAAAATAAGTTTTCCACATTGCTTTACAGTTCAGTCAGTACTGTGTGTTGTCAGTAACAATGAGTTTTGGACGACAGTTATCAGAGGGCATTCAATAAACTTATTGTACAAACACAAGGACACCAACAGTGAAACTTTCTACTCTCAAGTCTCGCCTTAAAATTACGTTTTGGGAATTTAAAAGGTCAGTCATGCACACTGTTTACATAGGTTTTCTAAGTAATCGATAAGATCTCAACAGTGATTCTGAAAGGCACCGAAAGTGTCTGTGAAATCCACACAGAGACACTTAAATTGAGCAGACATGATGAGAGTGGTTGGAGAATGAACCTTTCAGGCGGCTTTTTTTTTTTTTTTTTCATTTTTGAATCGGCGGTAAGTGTGAAGTGGAGTTTTGAGTGACAAGGAAGTTAAAAGCATTTTAGAAAAGGTAAAGAGATGAGGGCTGAGATAGAAGTGCTTGATTTTTTTATATCATTTGAGCTGCAGGAGGTGCACCCACACAATCTTCTTTTTGGTTTAACTGGATGGCAGAAATATCAAACGGTTTTGTTGAAACAGCATACTGAGATAAGAGAATTTTAATGATTCTTGGCAGGGTTGGTGGGCTTGAAGACGTGTATTTTCACTGAGCATGCTGCACGGGCCTGAAATTGATTAATAAAAGTGCAAATTTTCAAATGTTGGTCAACAGCTGGCTGTCTACCTTTGGAGTTATGCCAAGAAAACACAAGGTTCCTGTGCTCTAATGGAGGGATAAGCGCAACATTTACTCTCTCCTGCTGAGTTAAACATTCCCCAACACTAAAGCATAGTGTTGGAAAGGCAGTGAGAGCCTATGTTTCACTGCAGTTATTTGGTGGGCTCCTCCCTTAGACCCATAACACATTGAGAAGGCTTATCAGTTAGCTCTGGTGTCCCAGAGTGAGCCAAGTCCCATCACCAATCATATCAACAAGCAGAGTCAAACATCTCATACAACATTGCCACATTCATCTCTAAGCTCCAGGTAGCTCCAACCCAAATACTTCCTGTCCTACCACATGGTCCCCAAAGCCAGACAAACACTGAGCAAACCAGGTCTAGTTCTGGCCCAGATTTCATAAGATAAGTCTCGAAGTTGGCTGAATTCAGCCCAATTGTCCTTTACTTGTTATGCAGTACAGGTCAGAGGACACAAGCAGGGTTTCATACCTTTTTATCCACCAGCTACTGTGACTAGTGGTTTTCCAGAGTAACAAGCTGCTCAGCATTCACACCAGCCACAATTTTGTTCTCGGGAAATTAAATTTTGTATGATAGAAGTTGATTGATGATGTGATATGATATCATTGGATCAGTTTTATCAGCCTTTTATAAGTAAATTACAACCGTACACATCCACATCAAGACTGCATCAAATAAGGTCCTCTTGAGGGGTCGTTCTTTGACTCCTGTACCTTTTTCAATTTCATCATCAGCTTTTCCCCAGAGGGTTGTCTGCTCCCCAGTTTTTGTGACTGCTGCCATAAAGCTTCAAAGAATATTAAAAAATATAAAATAAACTATCCTCCCTTCACAATGTAATACTTTCCATCTACTCCTTCATTAGGTAGGTATTTATGAGTGCTTTCCTCTCTCTCAACTTAAAAGTAGAAAATTAAACTATTTTTTTCACCTTCCTTTCTTTCAGCTTTATTAATATGTAATAAATATTTCACTTGGTGTTACATGTGATCAGTGAGTTAATGACGTCCCTTTTCTGACTGTGCAGAATAAAATCGTTAGAAAGGGTGTAACCCTCTGTAGGTGATCAGACACACAAAGCAGGATATGATGTAATGCTATGGATGTGAAAAGAAGGGGGTGATGAATATACTGATGCAGCATACACAGGTTGTGTTGAACAAGTGCCGCAGGTCACCAGTCTCCAAGCACATATCAGCAGAGTTCACAAATGGATCATTGAGCAGTTGTTTATGGGAGTTGGAGTGTCTTTATTTCTTTAATCATTATTGTTTTCTGTTATTTTTAGGAGCCTTTAAAGGAGACGACAAGAACACAAGTTAACCTCCCAAAGTGGCAAGAAAAGTGCTTGTGTCACCCGCCACTACTGAAATCCACCTACTTTGGTGGGTTGGTGAGTGTCATGGTCTGACATGGGTCCTCACAGATGAAGACCACCTTGGTCTGTACAAAATTAGAAAAAAAATGTACGGCAATGTTTAGTTGCGCTGTTTTTTTTTTTTTCTCAGTCCCATCAATAACAGTAGGAGGATTTGACGGGAAAGCCTCAGGGAGAAATTCTTGGTCTTAAGATTACCCTGAGTGCCTCATAGTCACTTTCTGGACAGAAAATCTCCAAATAAGCTTCTAAAAAGCATTCAAACTTTGAGACACAGGATGATCCTTACAGTTATAGGTATTGTTTTTTTTACAAATTCAAAATGAACACAAAAACTGTAAGATGGAAATACTCGAATCGATAAAAGTTTTGGACTGGCTTTGAAAATGGCTGAGTCTTGTTCCAGAAAAGGACTGTAGAAGTTTAGCATTTCACTTTCTCATCAGTTAAAAAAAGAGCAGCTATGACAGCAGCTATAGGTAGGAAATGCACCATTAAGTGATCATGCAGGGGATAGAAGCCAGCTGGAAAGAGCCCCAAGAGTCGAGCTTCGCCTGGCAGTATCTGTGACGGCACACATGGGGCCTTTCACTCATGACAGATTATCCCAGTCTGTTTCAACACATTAATTTGAGCTGCCAAAATGAAGTGTGCCAAACTTATAACACTGGTCCCCTTAAAGTACAACATGGGAGATCAAACCAAAGGTATAAAATAAGGCACAAAAAAACATGCCCACACAGGCTTTTCTTTATATTTTTAAATATCACTCTATGCCTGTTCCCACTGGGTTTTTCTTTTTCATTCATCTGAATCATGAAATTATGTGCCTGATGTTCAGCCCACTGATCATGCCTGCAAGTTACTAATGATGGCTTTCAACGTACCCACTGGGCCATTTTGCACATCACAGGACTAGCATTTAGTTTAGTTTTGAAGATAAATGGAGGAAGCATAGCAGCAATTTCTCCCTCTGTGACTTTGGCATGGTGGGTTTTAATTGACAGAAGTACATGCAGAAAATAACTCTGAGGGCAGAAGGTAACCGACGCAAATGGTACCATTGGTTTTAAGCCAGTAGAGGACATTTTCAAATGTATTTCATAAACATGCTGGCTTCTTTTCAGCCATGCAGTAAGTGGCTGTGTTATATTCATGCGAGGTAAGAGGTCGGGTCAGTCGATGTCATGAATTATTCTTGTTTATTATTTCTTGTTTGGGTACCTCAGTGGTAATGTTCTGTTTTGTGTTGTACTTCTTGCTACATTTGTCATGGACCTAAAAAAAAAAACTGAATTGCTGTTAGTTTAGCAGACCCTGCATTTCCTTCACAACAAAAAAAAAAAACATTCGAGAGCAACTTTCAGAGACAAACTACATCAACAAAGCATGAAAAAGACGAGCAGTAAGGCTAACCTTCCAGCTTCTGGGTGGGTTTGACGCTGACGGAGCGGCCTGGTGGGTTCATCCTTTAGTACTGTTACAACAGGACGTCAAAATCTGCGGATAGATTGAGTCTAAGTCTTAATAGTGCTTCGTTCCAGTTACCGCGGAACTCGGATGCTGGAGCTGAGAATGACGCTACACCCGAGTTGACGGCGTTCCAGTAAACAAGTCAGAAAATCAGGGTGAAATCCCACTGTTAGCTATTGTTAGCTGTCGTTTACAATTTTCAGCTGTCGTTGGCCATTGTCAGTAGTTGTTAGCAGTTGTCAGCTGTTGTTAGTTGTTGTTAGCGATACCTATTTTAAACTTCACATAACACAATATTTTACTGTTCACAGGTAGACGTTGGGCTGTACAAGATATACCACTTCTTTAATTTCACAAAAACAAAACAGAAGTGCTTATAAATAATACATGACAAGAGCTTTCACTGTTACTCTTTACTGTTGATGCACTGGGCTGCCATCTTGGATTATGATGTTGTCGTCAAGACGGGGTTGGTGAGGATCGTCCAACTTTCTGATTCGGAAATCCGACTTCAGAGGTGCGTTCCAGGTTAACTTCTGACTCGGAGCTTGGAAATTCCGACATCCAAGAACAACTGGAACGCAGCATTAGTGCTCAGAGAGGTCGTAAATCAAGGATGATGCTGCCATTCCTGTATCTCATGTTTTTGCATAGGTTAAGAATGGATAGCCAATCTTCATGTTATATAAATGCATTTAAACACAGCTCAGCATAATTTGTTTCCTTTAAAAACACTTTAAAGACTTTGTCTTTAGGTCCAGTTGGATATTTGTCTGAAGTCATTAGATCTTTCCCCTTGTGTCTGCTGATACCAGTTTAGCTGTGGTGATAATTAGATATCGTCATATGTCTTTCATGTCAGGTTTCTGTAGCATCCCTTCAGTGCATTAAAGCACTCTTTCTTTCTGTTAGGTGTTATAATGATAAAGTTTCAAACAGTCTATTTCATTTCTTTATGACTTGCATAACATAAAAGCGCTCCTTCTGAACTCTTCGTCACAGGTAGAACATTGAATGCGATGTCTGGGTGGAGTTTTTGATGTTAGCTCTACACAGGAAGCTGTCAGTGTTAATGAGTGTATTGAGCATTCATCAAAAACTCCTCACTCCTCTCTGAGCTTTTTTAACCAGTAGAGGGTCTTTAACACCCCTGCTGTCTTCTTTTGTTACTCATGCCTCAGCAGGAACCTGTAACGGGTTCACGACTGCCGGATTTCTGTGATTAGCGTCACCTTTTCTAAAAACTGTGATCTCTAACTTCGTCATTCAGCCGTAAAAATGACACTATCAATTTGTCAATTTAGATATTCAGACCTATTATTAGCACAACACTGAAATGGATTTGGGTGTGCCTGATTTATCACAGCTCATTATAAAAGTTGTGAAAGACAACCTCTGAGATCACACAGAACTTTTTTGAGCAGAAAAGTAAAGTTGGCTCTGCAGGGATGCTTTTAAACTATTAACACGTGCAGTCTGTTCTTTTTGTAGATCAGTGGACCTAAAACTTCCTCTGTCATGCTCCCACACTGAGCCCAGACTCTCTACCCCACAGAAAGAAGAAGTCAGATAAATTAAAGATATATCCATCATGTCCGCGGAAGAATGTCTGACTTGGACTAAGGATCAGTCCTCTGGAGTACCTCAGTAGAACAGCAGGGACAACACAGCAGCATGGTATTGTGAGAGAGTCCGAACTTTATCATCCAACTGAGAGTGGACTCCAGATATTACATAGGTTAAATGGATGATACAAAGAAATAATACACATTTAAATACTTATACTACAATGAAACCAATATCTGATTGATTGAGTCATTTTGAACACAAAAAACATTTGAAAACAGTAATGACTTTAATTTTCTGCCATAAAAAGACATCAGGGTTCTGACCTTTCATCAAGTTTAACTCCACTAAAACAATTGAGGGCAAAAATGACAAAAAATAATGAAAATCAAAAGGCATTTTATTTTTAAAGCCTAAAATAGCTGCTAAAATCAACACTGTGACCAGGTCATGGACATTCACTTCCTTTGTCATTAATCATTTCAATTTTGATAATGGAAAAAAGCACTTTTTCATCTCATCACTGCAAAACATTGACTGCCTTTTTAAAAAATGAAAAAATGACATCATATTTCTACCAAAAACTTTATAGTTTAAGTTTTAACAAACCTCCAGGTGACATCAGATTTCTTCACCATATTGTGTTTTTTTTTTAATTCAATTTCACCATTTTGTGACACTGCTTCGTCAGTCTGTGTGCAATTTAAAAAATAAAGAAAACTGAAATTGTGTTTGCAATCGCTTCACTGAAAGGCGCAACTCAACGTTTATCAACAGTTTTTGGTCACATTGACAGATTGTTACTCTTTTATTTTCCTTTTCGAAGAGTAAAAAAGCCCCAGATTTTTACTCACTTTTCCAGAGGGATTGTGAGGTTTCTTGCACCAAGCTGAATAGAGCTTTGTTGCCACTGCTTTTACAAAATGATGTGCCTGCTGGCAGGATTTGATATATTTTTGGTGAAAAAAACAAGTGGTTTACAGACATGACTGAGGTGTAGCTTTCGGGGGTTGTTGTAATCTGTTGAGTCTCATACTGCCAACATTTTCAGACCCAAAAAAACAGACTCGCCTCTCCTCATTCACTGTGAACCCAAGTACCCACAAACCAATGTAATTCATGAGGAATTAAGTTCAGTAAAATCCTGCCACTTCTGATGTGATATATTATTTGTTTGAGTCTGTTGATCAATTAGATGCTGTGTCTATAATCAGCTGACCTGCAAAAGGGCCAATCAGAAGCCAGGCTCACCTGTCTCAGTAGAGCAGTGAAGGTTACAAAACTTAAAAGGACTGAAATTTTGGATGTTGACACAGAAAACTTGTACAGGGTTACCTTTTTACAACACACAAAATCCACAGATATTAAAAAATGAATGACGAAATAATGCATTAATAAGCAGAATTGATCATGTTTTGTACTTTGACCCTGTAATTCCAATCCCTACCCCCAGCCCACCCCTTTGTTGTGTGGGGAGAGCAACACACCTCAAGCTGCACGTATCTGAGAACATCTGAACACCCAAAAGCAACTACTTATTAGCATGTGCCGGTTCACTAGAAGAAAATGACTGGTGCTTAAGTTGAATATTAATCAGTAAACAGCTCAGCAGCAGCTTCTAGTATTTATAGCTCTTCCTGTCGTCTCTGAATTTGAATGATTTTGATTTATTGGCTTGTATTTCCATCTGCTCACAGTTTAAGTCTCCTCTGTTTTATGTGTCGTGTTTCATTCTTTTGATTCATATTAGACTGACAGGTAAAATGCAGCAAAGAAAAATATCCTTTGAGATGGAAGAGATGGCAAAGTAGGACAAGGTGAGCACTGACAGCAAGGACAAACAGGAACCTTAATGGTTACAAAGTGTCTTTACAGTTCAAAGAAAACTTTCTGAGAGTTTATAAAAGCAGCAGGTTTTTTTCCCAGGATGACTTAAGCTCCTTTTTGACTAAGAAACAAAACCATGGATCAAAATGATTGAGCATTTTGATCCTACTCCCTCATTAGATGTGTTGCTTTAGAGCTTCAGCAGCATAAGTATTTCCTCCCTACAGCGCTGTGTAACTTTAAATCTGCAAATGCCAATACCAACCGTACCATCCAATAATAATGACACTAATATCCTCCATCCACCTTCTTCCACTTAGCCATTCAGACTCATTTATTCCCTCCTAGATGATCATTTAGCACCTATTAACTCAAGATCCTCATCTGTAATGACCACTCAATTATCATTTTCACTCCCATTCTACTTAGGCTCAGCAAGGTTAAGTAACGCCCTGCACCTGTGACAAACCCAGAATGGGCTATTGTTGGTAATTAACACAGCAATATATTCAGCCACGCCTAACGGGTCTCTTTATTCTCACCTTCATCCATCCACTGTCATTTTCCCCCCACTCACAACCCTGAAAGAGGAGCATCACCCTCTTTAGTCTGCTGGCCATGTCATCCTACACCTAAACGGCATCCAGAGTCCCCCCGTCACCTACACCACACACACACACACACACAAGTACAAAACCCTGCAACCAAAGACCTGTCATAGCTTACTTCAGCCTTTTGAAATCACGTAGTGTTAAAACGGGGGATTGAATTGTTGCAAAAGAGGCGTGTAAAGGGAGATTTGGTGTGTTTTGAAGGTTTTTTCACTGTCTTTTAGAAGTCTGCTTTGCCCCTTTATTGATAAACTACAAAAAGAGCAAGGCGACTACACAAACCAAACAGCAGCAGTCATAATTCTAGCAGACTAGTAGGGTTAGTGGTTCTCAAGTCCAGTCCTCAAGGCCCACTGTCCTGCATGTTTTGGATGTTTCCCTGCTCCAACACACCTGATTCAAATGATCAGCTCGTTATCAAGCTCTGTAATGGCTTAATAACGAGCTGATCATTTGAATCAGGTGTGTTGGAGCAGGAAAACATCTGGGTTAGGGGATTGTTACCTACCTACCTACCTCACAGCAATCCTCTACTAATAATATGTTAGGATATTTGAAGTACAGCAGAATGAAACCCAAAAGTGCTTGAAAATCAAAACTTAACTCACCGAACACAGTCAGTATGTTTACATGAACAGTTAAGCCAAGCTGTGGTCAAAGCTCAGTTAGGGGATTTGACTGGACTGCTCTCCTTATCCTCGTTTACACACACTGGGCAAGAATCAAGTTATTCACAGCATGTCTGACGTAACCACAATCCTCTCATTACCATCGGCTCATCTCTAAGGCCAATGAGATTTACATTGAATGTTGAAAACACAGTCACTTAGTCGTTTCTTTGTCTGTCAAGGTTTTGTTTACCTCTCAGTTTCCTACGACTGGGAAAATCCTCAACTATCCAGGTGTGCCAGTCCAACTATTTTGAGTTACATTTAGTCCAGTTTCAGTCGGACTAAAGCAAAGAATTGATATACATAACAGATAAACTAGTAACATACTGGCATAGTGACCTTCTGAAATACACAAAATAAATTGTATTGATCACCATTTTGATTAAAAAATAAGCTTTAAAAATAGAGGATAGTGCTAATAATGAATCACAAAAGCTTCTTGTCCTTAAAGACCACATCTGCTTCACCAGTGGAAGAAGTGAGCAAGTGATCTTTTCAGTCATCAGCCTAACACTAAGACATTTTTAAATATTCCCTTTTCTACACACTGTTTTTCAAATCTGTCCAAAGCCTCTTGCTCTTATTTATGAGGATTCTCCCTGTTTTTTTTTTGTTATTTGACTCTAATTTGTTATTCCAGCTTTTACAAAATAAAATCAAACATTAAAAATCCTCATTCCTTATTCCCATTACTCCAAAAAAAGCTTTAAAACCACATGCCATTTTTGTTTTTTAAAAATATCATCCAAACTCGAGTCATCAACCTCAGCACAGCAGGAATATCCTTCTCAAGGACGTACATGTTCATGTCAAGTCGCTCTTCATGCTCCAGATGAAAGAAGCAGAAAGTGAGGCAGAGCCAACGTCGACCTTGATCTGTGGTGAGATAAGTGTACCTTTCTCCAACGTGTCTCCGTAATGTGTTTTGATTAACAGCATGCAATAAGATGCAGATTTTTTTTTTCTCTTCCTCAAGGTCTTTTATTTTTTTCCACAGAGCGGGATGCAGACACGTGGTGCCTCTCTTTTCTTTTATTTAATCATATCTCAAGTAAACAGGGTAGCTCTTTATCAAATGAAACTGGGCTTTGCTTGACAACTGGTTAAAAATCAATGACTATAGATCCTCTCGTGGAATAAAGTTGTGGATACTTAATTCATAAACTGTCTTCTATTTTTAAATCACTGCAAAACAACTAAGTAGACTCTTGGGACATAAAGCACGACTTAAAAGAGCATAAGCGGCATTGTGGAGAAGAGTTTCACATTCAGGGATAAAAATATCAGTCCAAGACGAATCGCTTTGCTTACATGTAAACAACTCTACGGCACACATGCATCTTCAGGAGCCTTTGAGCTTTCAGGCGAATTATTCAGGCTTATCTTGTTACCTCTTCCTTTTAGTCAGAAAGGTTCAGATCAAAAAACTTCAAGACAAAAAGACTATTGCTGCCGTATTCACCTGTTAAATTCAGAAACAAAGCAAGCAGAAATATAGCTCGGCATTTAAGACTGGAAACAAAGTGCAAGTCGAGTTCTGTGCAAAGTTTTGAAAATTTAAATGCCATCACTTTGAACCATAGCAAAAAGAGACACCAGCAAAAGACTCAACAAGGATATTTTTTGTCACAACTTCTGCACCGGCTGTTGAACCGCATTTCTTGCAGCCTGGCTTCACTAAATACTTGACTCTGATCAACCCACAGATTAGAATTGTAGGGTTATCACCTTAAATGCATAAAAATAAAAGGTCGCCACAGGCAGTGTTGTGCATGAGTGAGTAAAAATAACTGCATGCATTGAACGGTGCGGAGAGATTAAGGAAGTTACTGAGAGGTGACAATAGGTGACAAGCATTGTGTTTTACGATCTACGCCACTCTCCATACATTCAGCATGGCTAATCCAGCTCATAGTACAAACAACGCTGTTAGCAGGGGTTTCGAACTGAATATCTCTCTATGGTGCAACAAAAGCATACAGTGATTAGTTAATTTTGGCATTTGATCAGACAGATAGGGATTAAATCATGTGGCTCTGCTAAAATTAGAGAACTTGTTGCTCGAGCACCATGGACCCAGTAGTGGTAAAGCACAGTGTGGACAGATAGACTGAAATATTTTTCATCTGCCTGTTTTACGCACTGAAAAAAGAGATAAACATAGAGTGTAATTGATGTGTAACCTTGTACTCCTGACATATTTCAAAGAAAACATTCAATGGCAGTTGGCTTTGTACAAACTGATTTTTTTCAGCACTGTCCAGCCAAGCGTTCATTTTTTCCACACTAGAGAAACCAAAAAAAAGACGTCCCAGGTGACAATTTTCACCCTTCATATTTCAGTCTGGAAATCTTTTTTAAAAACTCCCGAATTATCTCCTCTGGTGTCCATGAAAGCCCTCATTTCAGCATGATTCAGCCACTAAGACATCGGCTGCTGTCACAGAGATATAAAATCAGACACAGCTCATGGGTTTTACTTTTTACACAGTTTGTAGTTAGTACAATAATCCAACATTGTGACATTACATATTTGGGTAACACTTTACAATAACCATAATTTATAAATGGTACATAGATAGTTTATTAATGTTTAATAATCATTTAAAAACAGCATAGAGACCAATTATAATTGGCAAATAGATAGTTTATTAATGTCAGTTAATAGTTTCTTCACCATTAACAAGCACCGGAATTATGATTAATAATTTTCATTAATTATTAATGGATTTATTAAAGGTTTATATAGGGTTTAAATATTGGTTGTAAAACATCTAGATTAAAATGTGTGTTAGTAGTAATTTTTAAATGGTTAATATTTGGTTTTTAAACCATCTATAAACATTATTTAGATGGTTATTGTAAAGTTGCAACTGATGTTTGTAATACTTTGTAAATGATTAATAAGTGGTTTATAAACCACCTATAAACATTACTTAGATGGTTATTGTAAAGTTAGGGTTGGGGTCAGGTTTTTAAAATTGTAAAATTTACAATTTATAAATGGTCTTTATGCTGTTTATAAATGATGATTAAACATGAATAAACTATCTGCTTACCATTTATAAATAGTCTATTTACCATTTATAATTTATGGTTATTGTAAAGTGTTACCCATATTTGTGTGTATGAGATTACAGATCAACATAATGGTCCCTGAGTGAAAGTGACATCTAACAAACTGATGAAAACACACACCACAAACACAATGTGAGATGTGGGAGTGTTAGAGAACTGGGAAGAAAATGCCATCAGAAAAGTTACAGGAAGTCGTCCTTCAATCAGTGCTTAGTGTCATCTTGTTTACCTGCAGTTGATGGCTGCATAATAAGCAGCATATTTTAAAGTGACTAAATGAGCTATATATTGAAGTCTTGTCCATCGTGAAAGGATTGTATTTTGCACAATCACCTGCTCACAATACATAATCCTTGACATTAACCATGTTAGTGACTCAGGCCAAGACAAAAAGTCAAGAGTTTACAGTGTTAAATGATTTTTATTTTTAATTTTTTTTAATGTCTGGAGGTTTATATTTGCTGTAATACTGCAGTTTGAGCTACATGTTGATCTGTTGATCTTTTCCTCATTAAACATCCCCTTCCTCATTAACAGGACGTCTTTAAAGAGTCACAGTGAAGCCACGAAGAGCACCAAGAAAAACAGCCTCCTTCATTAAATGCTAAACTGCACAGCTAATGTGCTATAAATATTATACTTAATAGCCTCTGAAAGTCAAATATCTATTTTGCCAAGCAGACACGAGTACACACAGCAGCATATGCAGTCTTTTTTTAACACTTTCCTCCGGGTCTCAGTTTGTCACAATGTTTTTCAAGGTCGCTAACACAGCACTCTCTCATTTGTTGTCGTGTTGCTCACAGAGAGGTGTTAAACAGGAGGCCTTGAAATGCAAATGAGGCAATAAAAGATAAATGGAGGTTGTGGATGTCAGTGCATCACGCCAACAACACAGCATCTGCTTTATGTGATAGCCCCGTTATATATCACCAGCTAAATTACAAAACTGAATCCTTATGGTGAAGCTGTGTTTATCAGCCAGACCCATACATTTTGTAATGATTGTATAGGAAGCTATATCACAAAGCACATTTCTACTTTGTACAAGACGATGACATGTAAAGTCATCGAGAGTGAGGATGAGTGTTAAGATTCAGTTGCCTCACAGTGTCTTCTTTTAATTACAGAGCTAAGGTTTAGACTTTATGATCGATTTACATGGCCTCGCGCTGGAGAGTTTATAACATGTACTTCAGTTTTCCTTTTCACTGAAATTTATGTAATGTTAAAAGCATAAGGATAGCATGATAGCATGGCATAAAGGTATAAAAGCCCACCG